TTTGGGGGCATTGCAGTTTGCAATACAGATACTGAGAAACCATCATGTTTGGTCTTTTATCTAGTTTCAGAACACATCTCCCATCCTGAGCGATCCCTCCAAACACCATTGACTTAGTGTTGTCTTCTCTATCCCAACTGCTTTCTCCCCCAGCTCATTAGGCAGGTTTCCATGTATGGAGCAGTCTTACTAGCCCTTGTCTCTATTGACCTTGGATATTAGTCTAGCCCTTGTCTCTATTGACCTTGGATATTAGTCTCATATTATGTTACTTTATATTCCATATATGAATGATCATTTTATGTATGATCCTCTCTTTCTGACTCATTTCACTTAGCATGATATTCTCCATGTCCATCCACTTAGAACAAATCTCATGACTTCATTTTCTCTAAAATCTTCATAGTATTCCATTGTGCAGTTATACCATAGTTTCTTCAACCAATCATCTATTCTCAGGCACTCAGATTATTTCCAGATTTGGGATATTATGAACAGTGCTGCAATGAACAAACAGGTGCAAATGCCATTTCTACTGTGCTTTTTTTTATAACCCTGGGATATATTCCCAGAAGTGTTATTAATGAGTCATCTAAAACTCAATTTCTAATTTTTTGATGAATTCCCATGCTATTTTCCAGAAAGGTTGACCAGTTGGGATTCCAAACAACAATGAAAGAACATCCATTTATCCGACTATCAATGCCAGCACTGGTTGTTCTTGTTCCTTTTGATGTGTGGCAGTATCTGTGGTGTAAGATGATATCTCATTGTTGTTTTTACTTGCATCTCCCTGATGATTAGTGATGTAGAACACTTGTTCATATGCCTTTTGGTTATTTGTTGTTCTTTTTTGAGGAAGTTTCTGTTCATTTCTCCTCCTCATTTTTTGAAGGGTTGAAGGTTTTGTTTTCTTCTAGAGTTCTACTAATTCTGGATATTAACCCCTTTTATTATGGGTAGTGGGTAAATAATTTTCCCATTAAGTGTGTTCTCTCTGTATTTTGGCCTCAGCAGTAGAGTAACAGCTCCAGAGCTCCAGAGAACCTTCCAACAACAGCAGCAAATAAAAAAGAGGCTCAAAATAAACCAATACATATCAAGAGAAAATCAGGATGAAGCCAAGAGGCATAATATAAAATAATTGGAGTCCCAGAGGGACAGGAATAAAACCCTGGTGAAGAATAAACTGTCACAGACATAATTTCTGAGATGTTTCAAGGGATTAATATTCAGAATTAGTACATTCATGCAGATTCAGGAAGCCGGAAGGGTACCAACTAAAAGAAATCTAAATAAAAATATTCTAAGATACATCCTTATCAGAATGACAAAAACCATAAACAGAGCTAAAATTCTGAAAGCAGCGAGATTAAAGAAAGAAATTGCTTAAAACGAAGTCACGAAATTTACATACAAGTGGTACTACATGGAAAGTATTATGTTAAGCGAAATGACTCAGAAAGAAAGGGATAGACATAGAAAGACTGCATTCATCTCGGGAACATAAAGTAACAAAATAGGCAACTAACACCCAAGAATGGCCCAGATTAGTATCAGGATTTTACTCCAAGACTTGGAGCCCCACCACACATACTAGGGGAAAAGGGAGCTCAGATAAAGAGGGGAACACCAAATAAAGGTGTTGGGAGGATCCTCCCAGGATGGGAGAAGCATGCTGAAAGTAGACTATAGATCAAACATGATTGCCACTCAATGTTTCTTTTGCAAACCACAACACCCAAAAGGAGAGAGAGAACAGAGGGGAATGCCCTGCCACAGAGACAGGGTGGGATGGGGGGAATGGGGGGTGGGAGGGATACTGGGATCTGTGGTGCTGGGAAATGGGCACTGGTGGAGGAATGGGTGTTTGATCATTGTATAACTGAAACCCAAGCACAAAAATGTGCAAGTCTGCAACTGTACCTCATGATGTCTCACTATTAAAATTTTTTTTAATTAAAAAAAAGAAATTGCTTATAAAGAAGCTTCCTTAAGATTCACACCATACTTATCTAACAAAACTCTCTGGGCCCAAAAACAATGGTGGGATATAGTGAGAAAACTCAATAAAATAAATGCTTCACCAAGAATACTTTACCCAGCTAGACTCTCATTCATATCGGAAAGAACAATACACAGCTTCACAGACAAACAACAACTCGGGAACTTCATAAATTCAAAACCATAGGCTCAAAAGCACACAAGAAAAACTACACAGGCTACCTTAAGACAAAGCAAGCCCCTCAAAAACACCAAACTCCTTTTTTTACTTTTAAGATTAAAATAGACAACAGAGCTAAACATGTGAGTTATCTATCACAATATTTTCTTTTAATAAGTCACATCAAATGTAGTGACTTATGTTATAGAAGAGAGAGAATCCCTTAAATGGAAAACTCAAACTGAAATAGAAACTGGCTTAAAAGTAATTACTGAAAACTTTGTAGCTCACTTTATTGTTTTTTACCAGCACAGGAAATTAAGACAAAAACATTGTACAAGCATAAATTAATTTAAAATTACAGCAAGTTGGAGAGATAGTACAGGAGTTAGGGCACTTGACTTGCATAATGTGGATTTGTACCTGGTAAAAATCTTTAGCACCACACAGGGAACCCCTAAAACCTTAGGCAACTATTGAGCACAGTGCCAGGAGTAATCCCTAAACACCACTCAAAGTGGCCAAACTCTGCCCCCTCAAAAAAGAGGCAAAATTATTTCCACAAAAATTGCTATACTGCTCTTAGTCAAGGCCGTTTGTTTTTAGCAGGATTGTAAAAATAGCAAACACCAGTAAAAAGTAATAACAATGTCTATTCATGTTACCTATTTCTGAAGTAATGGGCAGCTTCATACAGAAAAATAGAAGTGTGTTCTTGGTGCATGTAAAATAATGTTTCAGCTCTCTCCTATGATATTGTTTCCAATTTAATAAAAATGTCAAAAATTTTCCCCATAAGTGTTTAGGGATGTATGACGATAGGGTAGAAAGAAATATTGTGATCTAGAAACAGAAAACTAAATAAAATGACCAAATCTATGCAACCTGGTTGGAACTAGAAGATAACATGTTGAATGAAGTAGGCCAAAAGAATAAAGACAAACACAGGATGATCTCACTTCTCTGTGGTATGTGAAATACTGGATTAAGAAATGTAGTAAAGGTGGATATATAGATCACCCCAGTCCCCAGTGTTCACAGAGGAGAAAGACAGAGAAGGAAAAAAATCAAGGTGAGAAGAAGGTAACTTGAAGATTATGGTTGAATATGCATCAGGACTTCAGTTATACTGGTGATATGGGTGAGTGACATAGCAACTTATTCAAATTACAGACTCAAAAAAACTAAAAACTTGAGATCAAAGATGCAACAACTGCAACTTTGCAATATGTCTGTCAAGTTGACAGATGGGGTGGAGTGGGGGTTTGGGTGAGGAGGGAATCTGGTTGGAGGGAAGTTGACACTGATGGTGGGATTGGTGTTGATATATTTCTTGCCTAAATATCAACTTTAATACCTTTGTAAACCACAGTTTAATTAAATTAAAAAATGGTGCTAATGGAAATCCTGTCCAAGTTATCTCAAATTCAATTTTTATTGATATCAGAATATATGAAGATTCAAGGACTATAGGATTACATTGGTTTATTGTTTCTCCCTGGACACGGGGAGCTTAGATTTATTGAATTACACCCATCATAGTGTTCCTGCAGCACTACCATTCCTGTGTCTTTATCTTTAACCTCTTTTCTGTGCTCTCTTCCCCAACCAGTTAATCACCATTTTACCCTAAGCAATACCTGTGACTTGTAAAGTCAAATTCCTCGAAAATCTTTGATTTTGTATTTGTAAGTGAAATAATGCTTTTCTCCTTCTCTTATGTCCTTCAGAAAAAGTTCCTTTTTGTATAGACACAGGAAGACTGTTAATGCTATGCTTTTGTAACTTGGGAGTTAATTGCCTCTTAATATATTTACTCCTTGGCACCTGTTTTCTTGACTTAGCAATGTGACAAACTGTATTGTTTGTCTAAAACAATACCAAAACATTAGGTTTGGCTTTTGACTAACAATTTTTTAAATTTAATCTGTCTTTATTTCAGAAGGCATCAGATATGAATAAATGACAGATTCAATATTTAAAATTTTTATTCACCATAATAAATTAAGAAGCACTGTTTTAAGTATTATTAGACCTCTTAAATCTGGTTATGGCTTATGTTCTGAGAACTAAGCTAGGGAAATATGTAGGCATTGGAAAAGCAGTTCTTATTTGTCTTAAATCCACTTTCTACATGAGCAAAACTGACATGCTCATCACAATATATATTTGTATATAATACACATACATATAATTTGGTCTGGAGAGATAGCACAGCGGGTAGGGAGTTTGCCTTGCACGCAGCCAACATGGCCGACCCGAGTTCGATTCCTCTGCCCCTCTCGGAGAGCCCAGCAAGCTACCGAGAGTATCTTGCCTGCACGGCAAAGCATGGCAAGCTACCCATGACATACTGATATGCCAAACACAGTAACAACAAAGTCTCCAATGGAGATGTTACTGGGCCCGCTCGAGAAAATCAATGAACAACGGGAGGACCTTACTCTTACCTTACATATAATTTACATATACCTACAAATTGCAAATTATATACCTACATATATATTATATATTACATATTATGTATGTATGCATGAATTTATATGCAGGTATATAATTTACACATTTTTCTGGAAGTCTGAATGAAAAAGAAACAAAAGATAGATTCTAATTGGTTTTCTTTTTCTACCCATTTCCTCCTACTCAAAATCTCTCAGTGAGACAGAATCATGCAAGAGGAGCTAGACTGAAGCCTTTATTGTTATTCTTTTAAAACTCAAGTGAAACAATATACTGAGGAAAGAAAGGATGTTAAGAAAGAAAGATGAGAATGAACTGGTCAAAATTGTATATATGGAAACAATATTTCCCAGGATGTTTTCAAACAATGATGATCTTCACACTAGTCTCCTTATTTCTCATGAACCATTCTAGAACATGCAGACATACGGAAGTTCCACATCACAGCTCAAATCTTTCCATTCCTTATAATCTGGAGAGAGAGAGAAACATAAGTTATGTGTAAAGGGGCAGACTGTCATGAGCCTAAGAGAGAATTACCACTCTTTACTGTTTTCAAACACAAATCAGATTCTAGCTCTTATCAAAAACTTCATTTGCACTTTTTCAAGAATGAAAGATGGAGTTAAAGAGATATCAGACGGGAGAGAAGAGAAACAAAAATTGAATCTCTCAACTTGGGAGAATTTCCTAAAAGTCAGGTTCAGAAAAGGGAGTGGAAGAGATGTAAAATGATACACAGATGTTTGTTCTTACCTGAGTCTTTCAGGAGAGCCCCGCAGTGCCCAGGGTTTGGATATGAAGGAGGAATTTTCCTCCAGGCAAAATAATTCATCACATCTTCATTACTCCACTTCCATCCATTTCCTCTCTGAATGAAATAGAGGCATACTAATTGAATTGGAGCAAAGAGTCCTCTACAAAATTCAGCACTTGTACACATAAGTTTCCCACTGGCCCCATATTGCCTTGTCTCTTTGATCTCCACATGTCTTTAGGGAGTTTTCTGAGAAAATAGAGAAACAGAATGCCTTATATCACATTAGTAGCTTTAGAGGTAACAGAAAGAAAAAAAGATGTAATTGCACCTCTGTGGGGTCATGGAGCCCAATCCAGACGTAAGCATTCTCATTTCCTTCTCCAATGAGCATACTGGACAAAAAGGATGCCTCCAACTTACTGAGTACAGATGTAAGATGTGATGATCGCCACCTCTGGCAGGCAATCTGAAAGAGGGATGAAGAGGAGCCTGAGGATTTATTATGGGGTGAAGTGAAGAGGAGGCTGATTCACTTTCATTCTTCCAGAAACATTCTCTTTCCCTGGGAACTTGCAATTTTTCCCCCAAATCCTCTCATTTCTAAGCAAGAACTCACAGTTGCCTCCATCCAGGATTTTGGTGTGATAAACAAAGCATAACACTTGGCATTAAAGCTTGATGAACCTTGAGGGCAGCTGATTCGTGGAGCAGCCAATTCTGTCTCGGACTCTTCACCTGGAGTGGACATAGCAAATATTGTGGAATGAAATTAAAAAGTCAAGAGTGGGGCAAAAAGGTAATCTTGGAAATATCTCTAAAGTTATGCCAACCTCCTGACAATGTTTTACCATCTTACCAATGGTTTAAAAGTATTCGATCTTGATCTTGTCTTACTAATGAGGGATTTTCACTTTTCTTTTTCAAATACTATTCTGTTCAAATGTCAAATTCTCTCCTTACTCTACAATTTCTATACTGGATCTCAAATTACTTTTCTCAGTCCTTCCTTATTCCTGACTCTTTGTGCTGTCCTCGTCCAAGAAAAAATGTCCAGTACCAAGATGAGATGTCAATTCATTCCCCTATTGTGTCCCACTACCTGTGTCACCACTAGATATCCTGAATGAAGAGCCGAGGATAAACGAGTCACAAACACTTTCATGGTAGATGAAACTTTCCCTTGCCACATATGTGAGCCAGAAGCCTGTCTTCTTTCCTGGCCTCTGAACATTTAGAAAACTTTAGTGTAGAGTAGAGAAATTTCACCTTGAATTTGACAAGATAGGAGCATCAGGCAGGCAATCAGCATCCAGAAAAACCTGGGGATGAACCTGGGAGACAGCATCTTACTGCGATCGAGAAGCCTATCAGAGACACTGAAGAAATGAGTATTAGAGAGCATATAGTCAGCACCCCACTCAGTTACCTATTTCCTTTTCTTTATCATCTTTCTTTGAAGAAATTGACCTATCGTCTCCTACAGGTCTGGTAAGATAGGAAATTGTGCATTGGCCCCTAACATTGAGCCCTCCCAGGACAGCTTTTGCTGAGTTTAAAACTCATACTTGTGAGAGATTAGTGATTTTCCTATACTTCCCCCAAATGTGTGACTATAAGCCCATGCATATACTCATAAACTCTCATAAACTGAGTCTCACAAACTCTCCGCCCTACTTACCTGTGTTAGCAGGATATGTGAATGTCTTTCAAGTAGAGCAAGACTTGGTTTTTATAAGAGGATCCAAGAATGAGAATCGTCAATGGGAAGCATGATAGGGTTGTGGAGAGGGCTTGACGTTGATTGGTTCAAGGAGTTTCCTGCCATGGGGAGGAGACGCTTTCCAGAAAATTTTGGGAATTATCACAGGTGTTTTTTTTTTTGTAGGACAGCAAACAAATATACGAAAATAGAATTTTCTTATGAATCCTCCTAGGTAGAGGCATATGGAAATACATTTGATGTTAAAATATGTATAAAAATGTATAAAATAGGAGACTTTGTTGTTGCAATCTCAAGAACTTTTATATATAGTTATATGTATATATATGTGTGTATATATATATATAAAATCTAATAAAGCATTTTAAATGTTGGATGATAAAAGGAAGTAAATACTGGAATTGCAAATATCCCTGATAGGTAAGGGCATAAAAGAATTGAAAGAGATAGTATGATATATTGAAACAAAGACAAAAAACAAAAATAAAACCCCTACCAAGCTGAGATAAAACCTCACACCAGAGAGGTTTTAACACAGAAGATATGTGTACTCTATCTTCATTTTCTATGCACCAACATCCAATTATGATAAAGGAGAAATTGAGAAGTTCTACATGGAGCTGGAGAAGTTCTATAAAGAAGACCAAACCTTCTACAAGATCATTGTCGGTGATTTTAATGCCAATATAAGACCGAGAAGATCAGCTGAAAAACTCCACATTGGGACCCATAACCTAGAATGGAATAAACAGGGTGAGAGAATGTTTGAGTTCATCATGTCAACCAAACCATCCATGGTAACTCACAGATCCAGAAGGCTGAATCTAAACGTTGGACATGGGAGTCTACCGGTAGATGGATCCACAACAAAATTGACCACATCATATTCAATCGACGGTTTTGCATTACTGACATGGCTGTTGTCCCAAAATTCCAAATGGGATCGGACCATCACCTCCTTCATGCAAAATTCTACTTCGCGGAGTGGGGAGAAATGGCTGCAAAGTTTAAGAAGAGAACTCCTAGAACGACCACCAACTGGGAGCTCTTTGACACTGCTGTGGCAATATTGGAAGAATTCATCTTTGAAAACATTGACGAGGAATACAATTGACTGGTTCAGCACCTCCATGATTGTGGGAGGAATGCCAAGAGAGATCTATCCACAAAAAAATGCCTGTCTTCAAAAACCTTTGAGCTTATTTGCCAATGTGGCTTGGCGCAAGCCTCAGGCAACCACAAGAGAATGTCCAGGCTTGCAAAGCAATGCAGAGAAAGAAGACCTCAAAGAGCAACCTAGCAGATTCAGCAGAAACCGGGAAAAGCATTTTCTAGGCCTGCCTGTCCTTCACCAATTATAAGACCAAGATGACTGCCCTCCAACATCCTGAGGGATCTATCACATCTTCCAGAAATACAATGGAGGATATTATCCATGACTTCTACTCGGTCTCTTCAATAGCCATGTCTACCTGTCCACATACAAATTCCACAGGATGTATATATCATTCCCAAAGTTCTCCCTTCTGAAATCCAACATGCCATTTCTTTGGTAAAGAAGCAAACAGCTCCAGGCCCAAAGTCAGATCTGAACACCTGAAGAATCTGTCGACAGTACTCATCAATACACTGGTTCGGCTCTTCACACACTACCTGTCTGAATGCAAGGTTCCATCTCAATGGAAAACCAGCAGGACTGTACTACTGCACAAGAAGAGAGACATTTTTTCTTGATATGATGGATTGTGTTGATTGATTTCTGAATGTTAAACCATCCTTGTATCCCTGGCGTGAATCCTACTTGGTCATGGTGTATGATCTTTTTGATGAGTCGTTGGAGTCTATTTGCTAATAGTTTGTTGAGGATCTTTGCGTCTGTGTTCCTCAGGGATATTGGCATGTAATTCTCTTTCTTTGTGGTATCTCTGTCTGCTTTGGTATCAGGGTGATATTTGCTTCATAGAAACTGATTTGGAAGTGTTTTTGATACTTCAATTTCGTGAAAAAGCTTAAAGAGGATTGGGAGTAAGTCCTCTTTAAAGATTTGGAAGAATTCACTAGTGAATCCATCTGGCCAAGACTTTTGTGATTGGAGAGACTTTTTATTACCATTTCAATTTCCTTGATGGTGATAGGTCTGTTCAGGTGTTCCAGGTCTTCTTGGTTCAGCCTTGGGAGGCTATTGGAATCTAGGAATTCATCCATTTCCTAGAGGCTTTCGTGTTCCATAGCATTTGGCATAAAGCTTCTCAAAGTACTCCCTGAGAATCCTTTACATTTCTGTAGTTTCTGTTGTATAATGACCCCCTTTTCATTTCTGATTTGGTTTATTAGGTTTTCTCTCTCCCTTTCTTTGTGAGTTTTGCTAGAGGTTTATCGATCTTCTTTTTCTCTAAGAACCAGCTCTTAATTTCATTGACCTATGAATTTTTTTTTTTTTGGTTTCCATCTCGTTAATCTCTGCTCTGAGTTTTATTATTTCCTTCCTCCTGTTCGAATTGGGCTCCTTTTGTTGATCATTCTCCAAGCTCTTAAGCTTTGAGGTTAGGTTACTTATGTGTGCTCACTTCTCCTTCCTGAGGAATGCTTGTAGAGTGATAAACTTTTGATTTCCTCTTTGATTTCCTTTCTAAGCCAGTCGTTGTCCAATAGTGAGCTGTTTAATTTTCAGGTGTTTGATTTATTTTCTGTTTGTGTGTGTGATTTACTTCTAATTTCAGCACATTGTAGTCTGAGAAGATTGTTAATACAATCTCCATCTTCTCAATTTTATGGAGGTATGTTTTGTGGCTCAGCATATGGTCTATCTTGGAGAATGTTCCATGCACACTTGAGAAGAATATATATTCAGCTTTTTGAAGATGAAGTGTCCTGTATATGTCTACTAATTCTCTTTATTCCATTTTCCCCCACAGATGAAGTATGTCCTTGCTAAGCTTGAGTCTGGTTGATCTTCAAGAGGCAATAAAGTGGTGTTGAAGTCTCCCACTAGCATTGTGTTGCTATCGATGTCTTTCTCCAAGACTATGAGTAGTTGTTTTAAGTACTTTGCTGGTCCCTCATTAGGTGCATATACATTTAGTATTGCAAGTTCTTCCTGTTGTATGGATCCCTTGATCAATAAGAAATGGCCTTCACTGTCTCTTGTGACCTTCTTCACTCTGAAATCAACGTGGTCTTATACTAGGATGGCTACCCCAGCTTTTTTATGAGAGTTGTTTGCCTGTAGGATTGTTCTCCAGCCTTTGACTTTGAGCCTGTATTTGCTCTGACTATTGAGATGTGTTTCTTGCAGGCAGCAGAATATTGGGTTTAATTTTCTAATCCATCCTGCCACTCATTTTTTTAATTGGTGCGATTGCCCCATTGACGTTGAGAGAGATTATTATTATGGGGTTATGTTCCATTGTTCTGTTGAAATTTGGTGTACTTGAGGGCCCTGTCTTGTATTAAGTAGCCCATTTAGTTGTTCTTGTAACCATGGTTTTGAGTCTATAAAGTTCATGAGTTGTTGTTTGTCTGTGAGACTATGTGTTGTTCCTTCTGTTATGAATAAGAGTCTCTCTGGGTAAAGTGTTTTTGGTGAGACATTTATTTCATTACGTTTTTTCACTATATCACACTACTGTTTTTGGGCCATGAGGGTTTCATCAGACAAATCAGCTGTGAATCTTAAAGATGCTCCTTTATAGGCAATTTCTTTCTTCGATCTTGCTGCTTTCAGAATTTTGTCTCTATCTAAGGTTTTGGTCATTTTGATCAGTTTGTGTCTTGGTTTATTTTTATTCGGATTTCTTCTAGCTGGTTCCCTTTGGGCCTCCTGAATGTGGTCGCATGTTTTCTTCAGCTCTCGAAATGTTGTAGTAATGATATCGTTGACAGTTTCTTCTTCCCCAGGGTTTTCTTCCTGTCCCTCTGTGACTTCAATAAGTCTTAGGTTACTCCTCTTTGCTTCTTCACAACCTTCTCTTGCCATTTGTTCCTGGATTGTGAGTCTCTTTTCCATTTTCTGCTCTTTTCTGAAGAGTTTCTGGACTTCACCTTCTAGCTCATTGATTCTGTCCTCAGAAGCTGTTTCTCTGCTGCTGAGGCCTTCCACTGAGCTTTTTAATTAGAATACCAGGTTTTTCAGCTCTGAAATTTACGTTTGTAATTTTGTTTGCATTATCCTCATTTCCACCTTCAAATATTCTTCCTTTTACTGGCATTGCTTTCCATTGTTTCTTTAAGCTTCCTAAGCATCCTTAGTAGCTCCTTTCTAAGTTCCTTGTCAGAGAGGTTGGCTAGGACTTCATTACTGTTAGGATCTTCTGGACTAGCCTCCTCTAAAAGTAAGCTTGGTGGGCTTCTGCATTGCTTTACCATTGTGACCTGTGTGGTTTATACCTTCACTCTCACTGTTACTACTCTGCTTATGATGCAGAATTAATTGACATCGGCTTAATAAATTATTGCCTAATGTGTTTCTGGTGAATATATATATATATATATATATATATATATATATATATATATATCGCAGTTGCATTAGCTGCCACTTCTCCTTTGGGTGCGTGCAGTGTGCCTCTATTCCCATTCCCAGCAGACCGAGGATATAAACTGGCAATTAGCGGGGGTTCTTGTTAGATGTGATAAAAGAAGAAAAAGACATAA